AGAGGTCTGAGAGGAGTGGAGTTTAAATGATTTGCTCAAAGTCATACAGCTAATTAATGGCAAAACCAAGCGTAAAATTCAGCCAGACTGCTGACTCACTCTATGCTGCCCCCCTGCCCCTGCATTATAATCTACTTCCTTTCTTAATTCTCCACCATTTGAATTTTGGTCTTTCTCTTTTACAGCAGAGAGAGAAGTAGATGATTGAAGCTTTGCTGACTAGGGTAGAGGAAGAGGTGTTTAAACTGAGCAAGTCCAAGGGTTCAGATGTAAGCTCCTTGAAGACATTTTTGAACTCCCTTTCAAGATTCTTTCCAAGCCTCCAGGCAGATGCCAACTGAGTCTAGTACCGTGTAGTGGAGGGATCGGCCAGCAGCAGCAGGGGTAACGAGTGCTGCTACATTTTTCCCTCAGTTATCCCTGTTCATAACTGAAGAGCTCTCCAAAACATCAACATTAAAAGACTGTAGTTTGAGATAGGTCTTGAGCGCTTCATAGGACACCCTTTGGAAAACAACTGTTACAGAATGTTTATTTCTATGACAAGGATAGAGATGCTGCTTCCACAATGTACTTAAATATTTACATCTCCATCTCCCTTTCTAAGCTGCCCAAAGCAGGCCAAGTCTTTTCATCGCTATGACCAAGCAGAATGGCAGGTGCAACATATATAGTAGGAAGCCTATATATGGTTGTTGAATGAATGAACGAAATAATTTTATCCATAACTCTCTTATCAATTTATGCCTTAATGGAAAAAAAAAAATCCCTGGGGTGCCTGGGTGGCTTAGTCAGTTAAGTGTCCCACTCTTGATTTTGGCTCAGGTCATGATCTCAGAGTCATGGGATCAAGCCCCAAGCCTGGCTCCATGCTGGCCATGGAGCCTGCTTAGGATTCTTCCCCCAACCCCAGCTCTCTCTCTCTTTCTCTCTAAAAAAAAATAATAAAATTAATTAAATTAAATTAAATTAAAATTAAAATCTTTGAAGAAAAAATCCCTAATAAATCAAGTTCCAAATATTATTTTTCTTCCCTGACTTAGACCCTCAATTGCCCTCCTTTCCGCCTAGATTTCCACTAAGCTAACTGGATCCTTTATTTTGCCCTTCCTTATAACTTTTCATGATCTAGAACACTCTACAGATGACTCATTAAAGGAACTGTTTACAATATTTTTTAATTTTGTGAACTAAAATGTAACAAAATATATAAGGTAATGCAAATATATTTGGAGAGACAACCTAATCAAAGTCACAAACTTTGTTGGTAGATTTTAATAAACACTAATATGTATGAATAGATGTTTCTTGATAGTAAAAGAATTTTTCTCTCTCAAGAGTCCAAGCTTTTTCCATTCCCTTTTATTAAAAAGGGGGGAACATGGATTTGCTGTTTTCCTAGATGTCACCTTGTTCTTCTTCCTTTAACATATTTTAAGAAAATTTCATTTGAGGTGTTCTTATCATCATGTGTATTTCTCTGTTTGAACTGGAAGCTCTTTAGGACAAAGATTGTCCTCTACATATCAATGGAGTGATATTTATTTTTAGTGCTCAGTACTTCTGAAACCTCTTCTTTTTTTTTCAGAGAAGCTGCAATAGTCATAGGATAATACTACTCAAAAAAGTAGATCATGACATGAGAAATTACATAGTCTCATAATATAGAAATATGGAAAAAATGCAATAAAAAGCAGAGGTTATATATGAGGTTAGGTCTGAGTCAGTTACTAAAGAGGTACCGGGTGATAAAAAAGGGATATGTTATTGGGAAATAACTCCTTTGGGAGGTGGAGGCATTGGGAAGAAAATGAAATTCAATAACCATTTGAGTACTGAGTCAAGATTGGGAAGGATTCAGTGATAGGGAAGACATGAGTCCCAGACTCCTGCAGTGAAGGAGACACACAAGTACATACAACTAAAAGGCAAAACAGACCAGGATAAGGCAATAAAGTTTCAGACAAAGGTCATTCTAGGAAAATTTTTAGAAAAATACTATTTTACTCATTAAGGGTAAACATTATCCAGAGAACTCAACATTCTAATGCATGAAGCTGCTTTTATTGGCTCCCTGAAGGCATGAGGGCTATTATTTCCTCAAATCAGAAGCATGCCCCATTTTGTACATCTATCTTTTAGTTTGTCATTTACTGCTTTTCTAAACTTGGGGACACATAGAATTGTACTTAAGATTTTAGTTTACCATTTAAACACTGCGAATGTGATTTCTTCAGATACACATTTTGTTTTAAAGATTTATTTATTTATTTGTTTTGGTGGGGGGGATGGGCAGAGGGAGAGGGAGAGAATCTCAAGCAGACTCCCCACTGAGCACAGCCCGTGGGGCTCGATCCCACCAACTGGAGAACATGACCTGAGCCAAAATCGAGAGTCTGACACTCAAACCACGGAGGCATCCCAAGATACACATTTTTATTAAATGAATCTCTATCACTTTTTGAAATAAGCCTTGCACTAATGAATCTTATAAAATCAAAGATTCACAGCTAAAAGGAATCCTCATACAATACATGGCCAGCCTAAATAATTCTTAAGAGTACCCAGTCAAAAAGTCAAATACTGTAGCTGGACTAACAGTAGATTTCTAAAGTTATTATGGTATTAGAAAGATTCACTTTCGATTTTTTAATTTCTAATGATAGCACAATAAAATGCCAATAGCTCTTGATTTTCTTGCTCTGTAATAACCAGTGACCACTGATGGTAATGTGGAACATTTCCTGCTAGTTATTCATTGACTTAAAAAAAAATGGCACTTTTTCCAGAGACTGAGCAGGAGATAAGATGTCAAGAAGTAATAAGTAGCAAAATGAAAGAGGAGAATGCAAAGGAACCAAAAAGAGAAAACATTAAAGTGATGTGTTGATTTTTTTTCCTTGTGTATGCAGATGGACAGGAAAATTATAGCAGTAATTGCAGACTTCTTTTCAGTAAAGACAGAATGGCCTTGGGGAATTAGAGTATGAGAGAAAATGTCCAATGAAACTGCATTCTCATCCAGGCCCCACCTGAGTTGCTGGATAGGCTTTGGCCAAGGTCATTTACCCTTTCTGTGCCTTAGATTCCTTAAATGTTGAAAGAGATGGTTTGCTGCTGCTTTTCTTTTTTTTAAAAGATTTTATTTATTTATTTGACAGAGAACGAGCGAGAGCAGGAACACAAGCAGGGGGAGCGTGGAAGAGGGAGAAGCAGGCTTCCCGCCCAGCAGGGAGCCAGACGTGGGGCTCGATCCCAGGACCCTGGGATCATGACCGGAGCCGAAGGCAGACGCTTAACGTCTGAGCCACCCAGGCGCCCGAGATGGTTTGCTTCTTTGAGCTACTGGAAAGATAAATGAGATAAAGCTTCAGGAGGCATCCAAGACTGGTCAGAAAAGGTGTTATAGGAATATCAAGTAGTACTATTATTATTGAACTGTGTATCCTGTTGGAATGAGTCATCTTGCTGTAAAGATGCAGAAGCAATTTCAAGTGTGGCAGAGGACCAGAGACAAAGAGAAGAGGCAAGTACTCCTAGGTGGGGTTAGGGGAGATTTCAGTTGCATGGAAATCTGCCCTTTGCTTGCTTAAAGAACAAAAAAGGGGTGGGGTACAGAGGAAACAAGACTTTTAAAATAAGTACAGCAATGTGGCTCTACAAATAGACTTTTTAAATACTAGAGCTAGTTTGAATCCAGGTTTTGTCACTTACTACTGTGACCTTGGGCCAGTTACGGTTTCTTTAAACTTCATTTTTTGCATCTGTAAAATGGGGATTAATTATCATAGTATCCGTAGAGTTGTTTTGGGGATTTTAAAATGTGCACCGTCGCAAGGACTCTATAAAGTTGGGCAATCATTGTAATTTATGGGAGATGTGGGAAAGTAGAAATCCAGATTGATAATAATCGAATCTTTAAAAAAAAGAGAAAAAGTCAAGGTTTTATTTTATAAAACATGATATGATTTAAGGGGCCTAGGAAAAGGCAAACTTGTTTTATCAAGTCTGAATCTACTCATATTTCATGGGCCCACGGTAACTAGTCAAACCTTTGATATCTGGCACACAAAACAAACAAACAGGAAAAGCCTTCCGTGTGCTTTAATGAAACAGTTTTCTATTTTAAAGTGATATATATATGTATTTTTGAAAACTCTCTGATATCCAAGAGCTCTAAAAAAACAAAGCTCAGCTGCTGTGTTCCTGTTGTTCTAAAGAGAGAGCAATCTGGGGCGCAGGGATTACGCTCCCTTTGACTCCCGCTCTAGGCTGGGAAGCCTTCGGGCAAAGCCCTGGGGGCAGGACGCGTTTTTTTTTTTTTT